ACCTACTATATATATATATATATATATATATATATATATGCATGCTAGCATAGTCCCACTAGCACACAACTATATATGAACCCAATGATCTATATTCAATCTGGGCCGGTCAGACAGATATGACGTCATTTTGTATTTTAGTTTTAATTTTTTTTATAAATCCAAATTACTTTAAATTTTAGGCATGTATTCTTCTCATCAAGACGGAAGTAATAAAAATATTAAAAAAATAACTTTCAAAATATAAATTAACCAAAATACCCCTGTAAAATTTTGGAGGTATTTTGGTCAATTTATTTTTTACAAATTATTGTTTTGATATTTCTATTAGATTGTCCTATTTTTAAATAACACAACCAAAATTTCATATGATTTGGATTTATTGAAAAAAAATTAAATCCAAATATAAAATACAATCGTGATCATTAGATCGGCTCAGATTCAATCTGGACCGTTGGATTCATATCTAGCTGTGAGCTAATATATATATAAAGCAGCGATTACATGCAACAGTTGTATAGCAATATGATGTAACAACTTTCAAAAATCATGTTAGGGACATTTGATTGATTCAAAATTTAAAATATGCACTCTTTTCATTCTAATCAACAATCACAAAAACAAAAAAATTAAAAACGTAACCTATAAAGTAGTTTTTTAGCCCAATTAATATAGGCCATCTATTTTGATAAGAAGTTTAGATCTAGGCCTTAGAAGGATTCTTTCATTTCCAATTTTTTTAGATGGCTTTATTATCATTAGATGAACAATGTTAAAAAAAGAAAAAAATGATTTTGAGTTTGTAAAGGCTAAGATTTTGAAATTTACCAAATGAATGGTCTAGATTTGTTGTTCGATGGGAACTTATTTTAACCATATCTAAATTTCAAATTGAACTTCTTATTTCTTGGGATTTGATTATTGGAGCAATGATTTCATGCAACTGTTGTATAGTAATATGATGCAACAACCTTACAAAACCATCTTATGGCCCTTCGTTTGATTCAAATTTTGAAATATACACTCTTTTCATTCTAATGAACAATCACAAAAAAATAAAAAATTGAAAACACAACCTAGAAAGTATTTTTTTAGCCCAATTAACATAGGCCGTCCATTTTGGTGAGATGATTAGATCTAGGTCTTAGAAGGAATTTTTCATTTCCAATTTTTTTGGATGACTTTATTATCATTTGATCAACAATGGTAACAAAGAAAAAAATGATTTTGAGTTTATAAAGGCTAAGATCTTGAAATTCACAAAATGAATAGTCTAGATTCATTTTTGTAGGGGACTCATTTTGAAGATATCTAGAGTTCAAATTGATTTTTTTTTTTTTGAGGATTGATTATTGAGATGAAAGGAGTGTGTGTACAAATTTTGGAGTCATACAAATGGCACAAACATGATTTTCTAGAAGTGTCATTTCATTGTACTATAATACAACTGTTGCATTGGATCATTGCTCTTGAATATTGAGATAAAGATAGTGTGTATACAGAACTTTTGGTCATACAAATACCACAAATATGCTTTCCTGGAAGTGTGGTTGCATTACACTCTGGTACAACTGTTACATTGTACTATTATATTGTGTGTGTGTGTGTATATATATATATATATATATATATTAATCTTATTTAAATATTTACACTATTCAGGTCAGATCTATATGGACCCCATACCCGAATAGTGTTTGGGTCCAATTTTGGGACCCATACCCTGACCTGGGTTGGGTCCGGCTCCGTTGCCACCCCTAGAAAAAATGTAAAACCATGTCTTCATGGCCAAAACACTTTCCAACCAAATGATAGAAAACATAAAAAATTAAAAATAAAAACATATCACAAATAAATTCCTTTTTTTAGTAATTTTATAATTCTTTTTGAATTTTTTAAGATTCCTGAGGGGGACACCCAACTTGGGATACTCAGGCTCGCCAGTCCCGCCCACCCCCTCGTTCCCCACCTTCTATTAAGATTTGGCTCCTGGAGGATTCATATTTATTATTTAACCAAGCCAAAATATGAAATATTTTGTCCTGCTCAGTATGTTTTTGTAAAAATTGCCAAGTCAATAGTTGTAGGTAAGTATATTGTTAGCTCATCCCGCATACTCAAGAGAGTGCCAAGATATTTAGTCATTGTTTTATCCACTTGTTATGTTTGAGAAATTTCTTGTTTTAATAGGAAAATTTGAACGTCATTGTCGTGTTGGCCATATGTTGCCTCAATGGAGTTCCATAAATCTTGAGCTTTCTCAACAAAAGTAAAAATTTATGAATGCTTAGGTTCCATAGAGTTCAATATCCATGACATCACAAGATCATCATTGGATTGTTATTCCTCAAACAAGAGATCATCTTGGTTGGGAGACTTTTTTTTTCATTAATGTGCCCAAGTTTAAATTTCCCACAAAGAGAACGAGAAACAATTCTCGCCCAAGCAAGATAATTAAATTCATTCAGAAGAACAGTATTAGGTTTCATACCAGAGTTATGTTCTAAATCTGCCATTACGAAAAAATAAAAGGAACTAGAAAACTAACTTGGTCAGTAAATAGTAATTAAAGAGTAGAAGATGCTTCAGTCATAAATAATTGAAAATCCCAATTAACAATATTATTTTCTCTCTATAAAAATTGCCATAGTGTATCCAACTATTTGTGAATTTAATGCTCCCAATTGGAATAACTGGTTGCTTTTCTTCAAACCAAATCAAAAGACCCTTCAAGGGGATCACCTCTGAGAAAGAAAGGCCAGAGAGAGGGCCGGGTATCCAACATGCCAAGGGAAAGCCCTCTCAATCAAAGACAACGTCAATCCAAACCTATGCAAATGGAGTTTGCAACATTAAGCCGATGGTTCCTTGCTCTCTCTAATCTAATCTGGAGTTTGCAACATTAGGGCCTAAGGTTTGGAGAGTTTAGCAATCTTGCATGATCACCCACAATTAGCAAATTGCCAGATCACCCACAATTAGCAACATTGAAAAGTTGAAAAAAAATTTAGCAACAATATTGCAAGATAGCAAGGTTTAGCAAGGAAAATTACTAAAAAAAAATAAAAAAAAAAAAAAAAAATACCAAGACTACATTTTCTATACAACTTACCCCAATCTTACTTTTTCTCTCACTTTTTTTCCCAAAATACACTTTCTATGCAAATACCCCTTATCCCTAAACAAATTAAAAATGAAAAAACTCCTAAAGTATGTCACTGTGTAAGTACGGTCTGGCAATAGGGCTCCAGCACTATGTAAAGTGTGGTCTGGCAGTAGGGCTCCTTCACTACATAAAGTGTGGTCCGGTAGTAGGGCTCTGTCACTATATAAGGTGCTGGTAGTAGGGCTCCAACACTATGTAAAGTGCGGTCCGGTAGTAGGCCTCTGTCACTATATAAGGTGCTGGTAGTAGGGCTCCGACACTATGTAAAGTGCGGTCCAGCAGTTACAAAAGGTGGTCGAGAAGTAATGTTATTAGATTCCAAGGCTCCGACACTATGTAAAGGACGGCCCGGTAGTATTCGATCTGGTAGTTGCCTTAGGGCAGTCCGGCACTTATACGCTCCGACAATGTGATATGCGCTCCGGTAATGGGTCCAAAAATCAACGTCAAATCGGGCCAAAATGATTTTTTTATACAAAAAAGGCATTTACGTCTAAAAAATGAACTTTTTCCTTTAAGGGTATTTGCATAAAAAGTTTCTTTTAGAGAAAAAGGTGAGAAAAAAAAATAGGTTGGAGATAAGTTCCATAAAAAATATATTCTTGGTTTTTTTTTTTTTTGGTAATTTTTCCCTAGCAATATTGGAAGATCACCAAATGAAAGTCGACTCTAGCAAAAAGGGTAATCAAAAGGAAGCAAAAAGGCAATGTTAGGTGTTTAAAAAAACAGGCCAACGAATCTAGGTGACGGTGCTTGCATCAGGGAAATAAAATGGAGAAGACGAATCCTTTAGGTGTTGCCGTTATGGTCACGATGCTTGCAAACAAGGAAAAGATCAGACAGAAATAAAAGAGGACGGCTTCAACTTGCTTCACGAATATAGACAAACTCACAAGATATGGATCACGATCGAGAGAGACGGAGCAACTACCGTTGAGCGATGGATCGTTATTGAAAGATAAGCATGTTCTGATACCACGTAGAGTTCGCCATGAAGGGAAATAGTAACGAAAGAGAGAGAAAGAAATCAATAAAACATGTCCGGCAATGGTGCTTACATCTATAAAGGCTAAACCAGTATCTTATTTATAAAGAAGAGATTAATCTGGTTTATTAGAGATTTATAGAATTACAATTCTTGCTTTTTAAGAAACAAATCTCAATACAATTATAATCCCACAAAATAATTGAATATAGAAAACTTTGGTTACTATAGCTATCAACGATACAAGAAAGACTTCAAATCTTTTTGAACTTTCATCTTCTTTACCCAATATTAGCCCTAGTTATAGGAGGACTTCTATGAGATGGGGTTTTTGCTTAATACCAAGTCTAACCATTTGGCTCCATGGCCATATACATTTTCAATTTGCCTGGGAATTTGAGGAAAATATTATGAGGTATAACATGGAGGTAGCTGATTCACAATTAAAAATCTGGCTTTTAACGATTAGACTTATTTATATTTGAAAAAAATTTCATGCGGGCTAGACCGCATTCCTACAAGATGCGTCCCAAGGTATAAAGCATCCATCTTAAAGATGG